AGCATTACCTACCTTCAAGATTACCTTTTATATGGGGAGACAATATGCACAGATATAATTATATACATAACATATATAAAATAAATACAAGGTAATTTGAGGGAGTAGTCACTAGCAGCTAGGAGAGTTAAGAAAGGTCTTATGTAGAAGGTGGCTTTTGAGCCGAGCTTTGAAGGAAATTTGGGATTCTAAGAAACAGGTAAGAAAGGAATGAATTCCAGGTATAGGGGACAGCATATGCAAAGGCGTAGGGACAGAAAATACTGTTGTGTATGAAAAACAGTAAATTGTCCTTTTGGCCAGTTTGAACCAAAGAGCACATGAAAGGAAGTGATATATTAAGGTAGCTTGGAGCCAAGTTGCAAAGGGTTTTAAATGTTTTTAAAAAAAATCCACAAGATATCAAAAAAAAAATCTCAATGAAGACATTTCTATGAATGATTTATGAAAGATAATGGATGAAAGTTAAACAGGATGGGAAGGTTTGGATGGATTGCCATTTTCTTCTTTGGAGGGAGCACCCACATTGATGGGATAGTATGTCAAATGAGATAATATTTATGAAGTGCTTAGCACAGTCAGTGCCTGCTATGTAGTAGGTACTTAGTAAATGCTTCTTCCCCACCCTTCCCTTTATTCCCTTCCCCATAGGAGAGGTAAATGAGTTAGCATGTAAAGCACTTTGGAAAAGTTAAACAATTGTCTACCATCATCACTTGCATTTCCTAAGCGTTGGAGATAATATTGTAGCCAAGGGAACCTTCTGTCTTGAAGGGAGAGCCAGCTGGCCCCCGATGGCATCTGGATTAACAGAGTTGGCAGTAGTAAACCTTGTGAAATTCTATGATCTAAAAGCCAAGGCACAATTTAATATCACCAGGTACACCTAATTGCATTTCTGAATCCTGGTATTGATAATAAATAAGGAACAATATCTTGATTTGCCTAACTGGTGTTTGTTTCCCAGTAATTTTATTGAATTATGAAGCTTTAAATCCCAGCTTGAACAACTGTTTTAAATGTTAGAATTAAGTAGTGGAGCATTGTAACCTTTAACCTAAATTCCCAGTTCTTATGTGTCAGTGTCTCATTTTATAACTGTTTTTAGTCCATAACTGAACACACATTTAAAAAGGTGACCCAGACTATTTCTTCCTTAACTGAGTCTAAAAAAAAAAAAGTAGAAGTTTTTATAATAAGAATAAACATGTTTCAGAGTAAGATAGATGTCAGTAGCATGTGAATATAGGTAAAATAATTGGCAGTTCCTATATAAAGCTCAGCCACTCTACCCTGAATCATTTTAGGTAATATCTTATTTTTGTAACCTGATTTCTGTGCATTGTTATAATTTACCTTGCCTAGAAATAGTCTTCCTCATTTGCCTCTCAGTTTTTTCACAGTCCCACAAAAATCTTGTAAATTTCCCTTTACCCAAATGTTGCATCCTGATTAGGGGACTATGTTAAGATGAGTATTCTTCCTTACAACTGGAAGTGGGTTCTTTATAAAAGGGAACTAATTTCAAGACTTGGTACCCTCAAAAGGTTATTGAAATTCTTATTTAGGCACTCGGCCCCCTTTTGGAAAGGGTCAGACCAATTAAATTGATGTCATGAAGGAGTTGATGTCCATGATAACTTGGATATGATAAAGTGCTTTGATACCTTTTAATCAAAGAAAATTTTTTGAAATCCATTTTTCTAACATTTATTTTTTCTCTTTTATGATATGTGAGAGAACATAGTGAGATTCAGATAATTTATGCCTAGGGTCACAGCTTGTGGAAATATTGGTATAACAAAACAGGTAGTATTAGTTCCCCTCTTGGCTTTTTAAGCAATGTTAGAGAAAACTTATAGAATGACTTTATAAAGAAAAGATATTGTAGCCTGTTCCTTGGAAATATTCAAATCTGCCCTCAGTTCTTAATTAGCCAAATTTCACACTTGGGAAATAAAGAGAAGTGGCATTATACCACTCCTGTGATCTAAAACCCCTAAAGGAATGGTAGAAAGTGAGGGAAAGACAAACCTGACCTGCTTTACTAATCCAGCCCTTATAATCTATAAGATAAGTGTTTTTTTTAAGTTCGCCATAATATGATAAATCCCAAATAATTTTTTTTAAAAAAATGTGGGAAACAAAATTCCATATATTAAAGTCTGTTTTCCTACTTTAAACTCTGTTATTTTTTTTAAAAGAGCCATCTGGTAACAAATTCAGGGGTGGGTCAGAAGGACAAATTGGTAGAACCAGGTCCCCCAGTACACAGTCTCATTGGACCTCAGAGTCTGAAGCAGTTAAGACTTTAGGCACCCCTTCTCCTGGTATCCTAGGGAAAAAGCCAACAGTACATCTGAAAGTTTAATGGAAGAATCTTCTTTTTTTCCTTCCTTTCTTGTCCAGACCTATATCACATTCATCAGATTCTTCTTTTAATGTAAATCAGAAAATAGGAAACATATCAGTTTAAGGTCCAAAAAGTGTCCAGATACTCACAGTAACATCAAGTGTTTTCACCACAGCACTGGATATTTTGGCCACAGGTTTCCCCAACACTATAGAAATATACTTAGCTCTTCCTACTGATGGACATTTGCAGTTTATTATATTTAGAATTTTTTGAAATTGTATTCTGAACTTAAACACTCAATGTCATTTCCATATGTGTTTGTGTGTATATGTGTGTATGCATACATAAACAGAGGATTTTACATAAAATTTCAAATCCTTATCTTATATATAGCTTTCATTTCTTTTAAAACATAGAATAACTTCATAAAACTTTCAAAATTGCTCTGCCTCTCCAAGTTTTTTTTTACCTTCCTTCTGTTCCCTTGTGTATGTATGTGTGTACATATATACACACACACACACACATATGATGTTTCAGTGGTCCTCTTTTTTTTTCTTTTTTCTTTTTCTACTCTATCCTTCTAGCCCCTCTTCCTCCCACATGACCCAAATTGGAAAGAAAAAAATAAAAATTCTCTTATAAATATGAATAGTAAAGCAAAACAAATTCCTACAATGGCCATAGAATTATATGTCCAGTGATATACATCATATTCTGCATCTTGAGTCTGTTACCTTTCTGTCATACAATAATGAGCAGCATGTTTCTGAGATAGTCTTTGTTCATTACATTTTTTGGAGACCTTTCAAAGTTGTTTTTCTTTGTAACGTTATTGTTCTCCTCAGTTTCTTTGCTCTGTATCAATTCATACAAATCTGAAACCACCCCTTTCCTCATTTATTATTCTTCTACTTCCTCTCCTCTCACAGTCTTTACCCTCTGCCACCTAGGGTCTGACCTCTTCATTAAACTAAAACTGCCCTCTCCAGTATTACAAATGATCTCTCTTAATTGCTGGATCTGACCCTTCTTGACCCGTCAACATAATCTAGCATTGTAGATCGTCTCCTCTTTCTAGGTTTTCAAGTCATAATTCCTGATTTTCCTCCTCTCTGCCTGAACGTTTCTCAGCATCCTCTGCTGGTTCTTCATCCATGTAATGCCCTGTAACTTTAGATGTCCTCCAAAGCTGCAGCCTACATCCCCTTCTCATTTTACTCCATGCTATTTCACTTGGTGATCTCATCAGCTCCCATGGGTTCAGTTATCATCCTTATGTAAGATATAGTAAAAAGGCCAGTTAAGCTTGACTAAAGACTACATGAAATGTATAATAATCCTAGAACAGCAACAAAAAATGTACAATAATGCTGAAACCAGGTAGTGAAAAGCTTTAAATCCTAAAAATAGAAGATTGTATTTGATCATCAAGGAAATGGGGACCATTGAAGTTTAATGATCAGGGGAATGACATGGTCAAATCTGTGCTTTAGAAGAATCACTTTAGCAGCTCCTCTAGGGCTCAGTTTTGATGGTTGGACTAGATGACTTCTTCGGAACCTTTCTAGCTGTGATCCTAAGTGCCTAATTCTGTGCTGCTAGAAATAATTTTTACCTGTTGAATCTTACCTGAACTTCTTTGGATTTAATCTTTTTTTGAATTATATTTGCTTCATGTGTAGTAACAATGCCTTTCAGAAGCCAGCTCTTGAAGAATATGTTTTAGATAAGTGACTGAGTACAGAATTTTAGATCTTATGTGCTGTTGGTTTTGGCATTTCTTCTTGATGTCTGAATTTCTTATTGTTGAAGATTTTTTCTCCGTTTTTGCCTGCTCTTCTTCATTCCCATTCTCTTCTGGATTTTGATTTCTGTTCTTTGAGGTTTTTTGCATTAATGATTCCTCTCTGCTGGTTTCTGATTTGTTCTTTTTCCTTTTCTGTACTTGAAAAATTACTCAGTTATCCATTATTCTCAGCAGATGTTTGCAACAAATACAGGTAGCAAACATCTTTTATTCTTAAGAATACTTAACTGTTAAACTGAATTTTTATTACATATTTTTAAGAGTAACTTTAGATTTATGTTTTTACTTTAAATTACTTGATGTACGTCTTCTCATTTGATCCCCATAGCAGCTCTGAGAGATTATGCTACCAAGCATTATTATACTTGCTTTATAAAAAACTGATACCACAGAGATTTTCACTTGCCCAGAGCAGACTATCTAGGAAGTTGCAAAGTCAGAACTTAACCTAGGTATTCCAGTGCCAAGTCTCATTATATTGTTTACTTTTCTTTCAAATTATATTTTGTTCCAGATAGTGAATTGATGCAGTACTATAATATTTAATGTACTTAAAGCTGAAAGTTTCCATTTAGGTATCTCAGTGAGCTACAGTTATTTGTATTTTTCAGAACTAAAATGAGCTAATTAGAGGCTTAATCATATTCATGTTCCAGCTTCCAAAGTTAGAATTATATCAGAAAAATAGTTAAAAGTCCTCTTGTTCTGTGTTCAGAGAAGCAGCTTCCATAGCCTTTGACATGACCTGATGGCCTGCATTGTCATATGCTATGAGTGGCATTGACTCTGATTTCATGGCCTAAGTTTATTTATTGCTAGTTCTCTCCTTTTCAGGAAATGAATGGAGTGCTGAAGAACATGCTCTCAGATTGGTTTTCTACAGGATTTTTAAACCTGGAGCGTGTTACATGGCACTCACCTTGTGAAGTACTACAAAAAATCAGTGAGTAAGTATTAAGAATTTCTATTCCTGATATGCTGATTAGTTCAAATAAATGTAAAACTAGCTTCAAAGTGTGTTTCTGTACTATGCCTAATGAAAACAGTAACAGAATGAGTTATACTTAGTGTAAATACTGAAGTAATGTGAAATGTAAATAAGAGGCTAATCAGTACAATTGAATTCATTAAAGATCATATGTGTGTGTGTGTGTATATATATATACATATGGGAGGGTAGGTATGTATATGTGTATATATGTGTTTGTGTGTATATATATATACATATGGGAGGGTAGGTATGTATATGTGTATATATGTGTTTGTGTGTATATATATAGAGAGAGAGAAATATATGTGTGCAAGAGAGACTGTGTGTGTATGTATATAAATATTCAAAGCCAAAATGATCACTTTTTTGATATGGCTTTTTAAGAAAGAAGCACTATTTTATAAAATCTATAGGTATTCATTGAATTGAACATATACATGGTGTCTCAAAAGTCTTAGTGAAGTTAAAACTTCACTATTTTATATATAGGTATATATATATATATAGTAGATAGTATATATTGGTTCTCAAAATGAAATTTCATGTAATTATTGCTACAATTTTCCTCTTACCCAAAATCATGTATAATTTTGTTGTACTGAAATGTAGTAAAAGTTGTTGCCAGTTTAGGAATATAGAATTTTGTCAATTATTAAATCTAGGAGGAACCTGAGATATCATCTAGTCCAGTGTTCTGAGGAAAAAAAAATGAGAATTCTATCCAGATAAAAATTAAAGGATTGAAAGATTAGTGACCAGAGTATTAAAAAACCAGCTCCAAAATATGTTTTACTGCAAAGAAAAAAAAAAGATTATGGTGGTTATAGCTAAGGCTATATATGGGTTATCCTAAGGGCCATAGTAATTAAAAATTCTAACTGCCCATATTCCAGAAAGTAAAGTCAGTCTAAATGAAGCCCAGATAAGACTGAAGGAAATAAAAAGATAAAGAGCCAAAGCATTAGAAATTAGCTCTAAACAGGTTTTACTACAAAGGAAAAGAAAGAATTTTGTTGATTACTATAGTTGAATAGATTTCTATATTGAAACATGCTACATTGAATTTCTCTCAGAATAACATATTAATCATAACTTTTGCTATATTAATATTTGTATAGCTTAGGAATATTTTGGGGGGTTTTTTTGTTTTTTTTTAGGGAGTAGGGGGAGAGGTATAAGCTTTGATCTGTGGTTTCATTGATGTGAGCAACTTGTATTGAGGAATGTCTCTACTTACTGATAATAATCAGCAACTACTCTTCAACTCCCAGTTTTAGAAGGGCCTGTTGAACTCAAAGGTTAAATGACTTGTCCAGGTTCACAGTCAGTATATGTCAGAGGCAGGTCTTGATCCAGCTTTAAGACTAACTGGGATCCCCTATACTATGCTGCATTTCAGAACAATTCTGTATTATGTAATTATAATAACATGTAATATATAATAATTATAGCTCATCATGCTTAGTATAACTAGAATTTAAAACGCTTTATTTTAATTTTTATATTCCAGATAGAGGTAGAGTGAGCATCAACTAAAACTCTGTTTTATAAGTTTGTTTGTTTTTTGCTGACTTAGCTGTATGTAAAAATCATTAACTGTTATTTTGCCATCTAAAAATTTTCTTCAGGTCTGAGGCTGTACATCCTGTCAAAAATTGGATGGACATGAAGCGACGTGTTAGTTCATACAGAAGATGTTATTTTTTTTCTCACTGTTCAACACCTGGGGAACCACTGATAGTTTTGCATGTGGCATTAACCAGTGAGATTTCCAGCAATATCCAGGTATCCTTTCTGACAGTATTCAACATAAAATAAGCACCACCAAATATCCTAGGTCCTCAAGTTTCTGAACAAATCTTTATTCCCTGATCTAGGCTTGCCCTTTCCCACTTCTTTCCCTTTTTGCATGACATTCCTCTTTTTCCATCTCCCACCCTAGAACGCCTATGCATTCTTTCCCTCCTTCATGTTCCACTTCAGGTGCTACTTTCTCCAAAAAGCTTTCTTTGATCCCCACAGTGAGAAATTATTTTTTCCTTTAACTTCTCAGACTCCTTTGGTAGACTTCTGTATATTTCATCATTTTAATCTTTCATCAAAATCATTTGTATAGCTGCTATTTCATCTCTATTTGATAGTAAGCATCTTAAAAGTAATTATTTTGTTACTTTTCACCTTTGTATTTCCAGGACTTTAGTCACAATAGGTAATTAACTTTTTTGAAATGAACTGGTATCATTTTGTTTAATTATATTCTATAATGATGTACATAAACTAATATAATTATTGCCTCATTGATTAAATGAAGAATACAGGTTTATAGTCCATTTCTTTCAGAGAATCAGAAAGTACATACATTACTCACAAGGGATATCTGAACTCTCAGCTAGAATAGGAAAATTCTAATGAAAGAACAGTAGTATTGAAGGCTAAAGAAGAAGGAAAACTTATAAACTAGTCATTCAGCATTTTAATGTTTATTATGAGCTCTGGGCAGGAGAGAGCATATGGAAGAGAATAAAAAGGATCTAAAACAAGAGTTATATAGGGGTGGGTACACATTATACAGACCATATGATCAAAAAGAGAGATGAAATGATGAATTTCTAATGTAAATCACAGAACTGATACTGTGACAGAATGTAATTATGATGAGATTACTTCCACTATCTATACGGTTTTTCAAAGTATCTCCACTAATAAAGCAGCTGATGAATTCCTTACTTTCTTAGTTAATAACATCATCCTTCACAAAGTGAATGAAGTGACAAGGAGAACTCCTATTTCTGGACGTTATTCTAACCAACTATTTGGGAAAGTGGAAATATGGGATATTTTAGAGTAAATGAAATGAGTGCCATCTTAGACTGAGTAATAGATAAGGTGGGAAAATCTTTGTGTAGCCCAATATGTACCCTATGCTTTAGAAGGGTAGATTTCAAAAAATTCAAAGAGGACAAATAAGGCCATATTACCTGAGACTCTAACTCAAGATGGATATAAAATTCTGAAGAACAAAATACTGATAGTGCAGTTACAAATGATTCTATTGCAGCAGGGGAAGAGAGAAATATGTCTTAAGAGGCCAAAGTGACTTCATGGTAATCTCATTGAGGACTTGAGCACAGATTTTAAAAGGACATTATCAAAAATAAATAAAAGATAGAACTTCCCTGGTGTACACTACCTCATAAAATCAGGATAGACATATGAAAAAAAAAGTAATTAAATAATAAATGCCAAAATGTTTATTTATGGATAGTAGAGGAGAAAGGTGAAATCACAAATACGTATATAAGATAATCCTGCAAGACTTATTAGGAAGGTGACAGCATAGAATGTTCTAATAAGGTAAATATTAAAAATAACAAGACATTTTTAGACTTGAGGGTCCAGGAAGAATATGGAAAGGATGGAACTACTGCTTGGAATGAATTGAAAGATACTGATAAATAACAACAAGAAAGTGAGCCTGCTTCCTTTTTACTTAACAGAGAGTGATCTTCAGGATAAAAAGTACAGGGTGAAAACTTTAAATTGTCTCTAACAAGAGACAGTTATCAGGGAATTGAAACTCAAACAAGGGAATTTTAAGGGTAACCGGGTTACCCTTTTGCCAAGCTTTTACCAAGGGCATTCCATGTACACACTTAGGACTTTGCTACCTACCTGCCTATCCTTATGTTGGAATGCCTTCTCTCTCCCTCTCCCTTTCTTCCAATAATCCCAAATTCTATTTATCCTTCAGGATCCGGCCAGATGTGCCTCTTCCATGAAGTTTTTCCTGATTTGACCTCCCCCAACTCCATAATCAGAAATGATCTTTCTTTTCCTTCCAAAGAAGGACTTTCTGCCTCTCATATTCTTATCATATTTTCTTCTGAAATATAGTTACTGTGTGTTTTTGAATGTGTCACATCCCCCTTGCTAGATTGTAAGCTCCATGAAGGTAGATTATGTCATAATTATCTTTATATTTTCCCCAGTGCGTAGCATATGGTTCTGGGCAAGTAAGTATTTATAAATCATTGTTAAATAGATGAATAGTGAATCTATAAATCAAATCAGAAGTATAGTGCTGTTACTTATTTGTGTAATGCTGAAGTGTTTTAGTAGGAGTAAGGCATAGGATCTCAGGATCTCAAAGGTAATTTGAGATTACCTTCAGCTAGACTTAATGTTCATTAGCATCAGAAACATTTATCGGCACTTAAATTAACATTTATAAGCATTTCTAGTTTAAATCTTCATATTTGAGAAGTGATTTTAACAAATCTGGAGATAAGTAGAAAACAAACCTAGAGCTACTTTGGATTAGAAAAGAGAAGAGTAAGGATCCAGTGTACTTTCTTAAGATTTTGTGGAAAATCTTTAGATTTTTTTGTCGTCTTCCATATACAAAGAGGCCTAGAGAGAGGAAAAAAATAACTCAAGTTACAACAAAGCAATTTGCTTACCTCGGATGGAATATAAAATAATAATGTATAAACATTAGAGCAGAAAACCAAAAGAAGTTATGAAACTCCTCTGTAGAGATACAAAAATGTAGAACTTTAGTCCCATACGGAAAGGTAGATTATAGATCATGGGTTTAGAGTTATGAGACACTTGAAGTTCATTTAATCCAACACCTTCATTTTACAAATGAGGAAACCAATCCTCAGATTGTGGAAGTATTTTACGGGTAAAACTGTAAGACTAAACTCAGTTCTCTGATTCCCGTTTCAGTAATCTTACTCCTGTCCTTCATTGCTTCACTGTGGGCAGGCAACATTTTGTGTCTATAAATCTGCTTGCCTTACAGATGTCATTTTGATGCTTCATTCATTTCCTATCTTAGAGGTTATTTTGCTTTGCAGCCCAAAATTAAAGGATTAGAATTGTATATGTATGTCAAATCATATTCATAAAAACATTATATGTGTTTTTTTTCAGGCAATAGTGAAAGAGTTTTCTCCACCAGAAGTAGAAGACAAAAACAAAATTGTCACTGCAATTTTCTATTCTATCAGTTTGACCCAGCAAGGCCTACAAGGTATTGAGTTGGGAAGTTTCCTTGTAAAACGAGTTGTTAAGGAACTGCAGGTATGTTTGGCAAATATGGTCATGTTGTTTTGGGTGTCCTCATCTTGACTGAGTGAGTTTTTGTTTGTATTTTTATATGTGTTTAAATTTTATACATGTCTCTATCAATCTCAAGAGTGATCCATAGGTTTGCACTACCAACCAGTGAACAACTTAGTTTTATTCTTTCATCAGATATTTGTATGATATATTACTTTGTAACTTTGAGTAATATTAAGCCCTTACAGTCCCTTGAAAAACTTATCCACTACAGCTTTAGCTATCCATTTCTATTTGGATGAACCCTAATTGCTTATCTATCATTCTGACCTTTCACCCAAACTCTCCTGTCACATCTAGATATTTCCATTCAAATGTGCTACTTCCACATTAAACTCAACATATTTAAGCCTAAACTCACCATCTTGATACTAAAACAAGTTTCCAATTTTTTCTGTCCTCTAACTTGATCTGTTCCTACCGAGCCTCGTGTCCTCTGTAAATCTGATAAGCATACTATATAAGACTTTATCCAAGGCATTTTGTAAAATGTTTAACAATGTAAGACCAAGGCCAAATCTCTGAGGCACTCACTTCACTAGAAAATGGGTCTGATTACTCAACCAAAACCTAATTTTTAGGGTATTCCTCCTCATCCTTGGAATGCCCTTTCTTTTTTCTGTGTCCTTCTGTCCTTTAACTACCCTTTAACTCAGATCAGTTCCTATCTTTTTTAAGGCCTTCAGATACCCAAGCCCATTTTCCCCCTTTGCCCTTTACTGTCCACAGAAAAAATTAGTATTTACCATTTACTTATTTATATTGTCATTTAACTTTCACATGTGTGTCTTTTGATTTCACAAGATGTTATAGAGCGAGGAGCAAACTTAAAATTTCCTTTGCTCACTAACACTCAGCAAAGGCTTTCTAAGCACTTGGTCTATATTTTTAAAGGAATCCAGGGATCCATGTCATTTCTTGGTATTATAGGAATAGATCTCTCCTACATGACACTTCTATTTATTAGAAGGATAGCTATCTCCTGCATATTTTCTGGATTTATAACTCCTTGGTAAACATTTTGTTTTTGTTTTTTCATTCTAATTTTTCCTTGACCTCTATGTAGCACTGACCATCCCACACCCCACCCTTAGTTTCCTTAATGAAACACTCTTCTAGACCTCTTCCTTTCTGCTGCTTCTCTGATTCCTTTCCTAGATCTCCTTTCTCTTCCCACCTCCAAAGTGATCTCCTCTTTCTCTATGCTCTTGTCTTAAGTAGTCTCATCAGTCCTCATGGTTTCAATTATTACCTCCATGCAGAAGATTTCCATATGCTTATCTCTGTTCCCTAATCATTCTTTCAAGTTGTGGACTTACATTTCTATTCAACGTAAGAAACATTTATCAAGAGTCATTATGTGGAAGGCACTGTACTGAGTGCTGGTTATATAGAGACAAAACAAAATAACAGTTGCCTTCAAAGACCTTAAATTTTTTCTGGTGGTAATACAACATGTAGATAGATGAATATAATACAAGATCATTCAATGAGAGAGCACTGACAGATCAGGGAAATCTTCATGGAAGAAATGGCAACTGAACTAGCTTTTAGTGAAGATTCTGACTGATAGAAATGAGGAAGGAGAGTATTCTAGGCATGGAGGATAGTTTCTTATGCACAACTAAAGAAAACAGTGTTGATTGGGTGGAGAATAGAGAATGTAAAAGGGAGTAGTATGAAATAAGGATAGCAAGTAGATAGAAGCCAGATTGTAAATACTTTTACATGACAGGATGAGAAATTTTAATTTTATTGAGGAAATCTTTGGGAATAACTGGAGAGTTTTTTGTTTATTTAGTCAGAGGAGTTCTATATTTAGACCTTGGTCCTAGGAAATTTATTTTGATGCCTATGTGCAGGATGGATTTGGAAGGAAGAGACTTGATGCAGGGAGATTAGTGCATCTATTCAGAATCTATTAAAATAGGCAAAGTAAGAGATAATGAGCACCCAAATGAAGTGGGTGGCTGACTGTATGAGTAGAGAAAAGGGGATGGATATGAGAAATGCTGTGGAGTTAGAATCAACAAGACTTGGCAGCATTGGATATAGGGGATAAGGTGCAGGGAATATTCAGAGATAATCAAGGATAATTTAACCTGAGAGACTAGAATAATGGTAGTGCCCACAAGTGAAATAGGGATATGTGGAATAAGATCATCCGTTCCACTTTAAACATGTTATTTCAGATGCCCAAGACACAGCCAAGAGTAGAGATCTTCAGCAGATAGGTAGCAATGTCAGATTAGAGCCCAAGAAGGAGATTAGTGCAGTATTTATAGATTTGGGAGTCACATATGACTTCTATGGCATATGAACCCATGGGAGCAGAGGAGATCACTGAGGAAGAGATGGGAGAAAGAGAAAAAAAAAGGTGGCATAGAGTATAAACTTTGGAGATAGAAAGCCCTGAGTTTGAATCTTCTTTGTGATACGTACTAGTTCTGTGACCATGTATAAATCACTTAACCTCTGTGCCTCAGTTTATTCATTACTAAAATAAGAGGTTTGGACTGAGTGCCCTCCAATGTGCCTTTCAGCTCTAAATCTATGATCCTCTGATCATGTGGACAACCCACACTAAGAGAGATGGACGATAATATAGCCAATGAGACTAAGAAATGGGTAGAGACTTTGGAGGAGAACTAGAGTAAAGTATTGTAGAAGTCAAGAAATCAGGGTTCCCAGAAGAAGCATAAAGTTAGCAGTGTCAAAAGCTGATGAGGGATCAGAAGGGATGAGGGCTAAGAAAAGGTCATTGATTTTAGCAGTTAAAAACTTGTCAATAACGTTGGAGACAACAGTTTCAATGGAGTGGAGCAAAACACCAGATTGCGTGGAATTGAGGAGTGGGTGTTGAAATAGTGAGGCAGAGTAGATGTAGACTTAGATAATTCTTTCTCAATGTTTGGTAGTTAACAGAAGAAGAAAGTTTGGCAGAGTCAAGTCAAAGTTTTTTTTGTTTTGTTAAATTTTTAAGGATAATAAGAAAAATGAGTATATTTGTAGGTAGCATAGAAAGAACCAGTCAATGTAAAGGAAATCTCCAAGGTCCCTTCTGTCCCTGCCATTTTATGGTACTATACCTAACAAATGAAGTCTACATTTTGCCTCTATCATTCTAGGCCCTAAAATCTAGTACCAATCTACCTTTCCAGCTTTTTTTTCTAATACTATCCACTCTCCAAGATACCTTATACTGTGACTAAACTAGGCTTTTTCTTTCCCCCTAAATATATCCTAGGTCTTTTGAATCTTTATTCATGTTGTTCCTCTTACTTCAGTGAAGCTTTCCCCTCTTTCCTACTCCTCTCCCTCATCCCCGAGAAAATAATCTTTGCTTCTTAAGACTTAATATAGGACTTTGTTTTTACTATTTTAAAATATCTGCAATTCTTTCTTGTCTTATAGGTTATTTGTATGTGTGAATGTGAATGTAATGTATCTATTCTTATTCCACATAAGCTCTTTGAGAACCCAGGACCTTGTATTAGATTTTTTCAAGTACTCTTCTCATTTAATTCAAGTAGCATAATACTCTTCACATTTAATTCAATTAACCAAAAAAAAAAAAAAAACCACTTATTTTTTACCCACTGTATGCAAGGCATTATAATAGATGCTAAGCAGAGACAAAAATGAAACAGTCGTTACTCTAAAAGGATCTTACACTCGATTTAATGATTTTTTTTTAACTGAAGGGTAGTTATTTAATTAATAACCTATTTTTAGTTCTTCCACAAAGGAGATAATCCATTTTGTTAGCCACAGTAATACTGAACCTTTCAAGAACTGTTTCCATTAAAAAATATTAACTTGGACTCATCCCTGCTAGGAAAGTGGTCTATGCTTTTCATATTTCCTTACAAAATATAGTGATATGGTCTCTTCCTAACAAACAGTATGAGGTAACAGAAAAAGAATAGGGCATCAAGTGACCAAAACTATAGCCTTAAGCACTAACTATATAACTATATGGAGGTATTATAGTTATTCCCTCTTGACTGACATATATCCACAATATCTTCAAATATGGTCGTAGCTTATAATAAACTAGTTTTTAATTTAAGTATGTAAATTTGAACTTCCAGTAAATGAATGTCTTCTTTTATACCTTTCATCAGCTGTCCCTTTTCCTGTCTCAGCGTATGTGAGTAAAACAGTCCACAGACACAGGGAGCTATACAGTCCTTGTAGTAAAAACAACTTTAATATTGAAAGTTTCCAACACACAGTGCCATTTTTATACTTAACTGTGTACATATCTTGTCCTCTCCCTTTCTTTTCTCCCACCAACCCCAAAACCATATCCTTTTATATTTGTATCATCATTATCTAGAATAAGGTATTTAATAAATGTTTATTGAAGTTTTTTTTAAATGTAATATAATTTCTGATTAAACACCTAGAAATCTAAAAGACTTTGATTATTCCCTAGTATTTTAAAAGTCTTCCATTCCTGAGAGTGTGTAAGTGGGGCCATTTTGTTGTAAGTTTTGGCCCTGTAATGATAGATGGCAACAATGACTAGAGGGGAGTGATAGATGTTTCAGGATAGGAAAAAAAATAAACAAAAGATTATGGTATGGTGAAAAGAATGCTAGTTTTGGAGGTAAATAAAAGACCTGGATCTGATACTTAATAGCGGTATAACATGGGACAATGCTTCTCTGTATCTCAGTTTCCCTATCTATGAAATAAGTATACTTTGTACTGTACCTCATATGCTGGTAGGAAGACCAGATAAGATAATGTTATGTAATATATAAGTCATGAAGTGCTATTTAAGTGTCAGCCATTATTATTAATATTTTCCTCTCTTCTTTCTGCCCTTCCTTTTCCCAGGGTAATAACAGTGGCAAAAGAGTAGCTAGTATCCCTAGTAGCCTCTTTGGGTGTGGCTGGGTACAAGGAAGAAATCAGGAATGTGTAAGCAAATAGCCTTCTGCTCTTCCTGACAGTAATGAAGAAGATAGCATGTATGAGGATTTATAAAGATTTTAAAAAATTAATGTACCCCATTTTTTCCTCTGGTCACAGAAAACCCAAGACAGAGCTAAGAGAGCTTTACTAAATGTCTATCAGAAAATAGTGGCAATTACATTTGTGCGCTTTCCCTTACTGTACACCTTACTATATTTCATTATTGTATTACATGGTGGTTGATTTGATGCTTGGCAATGAAGAGTTTGTACTTAGGTATTACGTATCATGTTAGCATAGCTACCACCACTAAAGTCCTACTTCAGTGCTTCATTATAACATGGAAATGACCTTGGGTTCTTGAAGTTTTTGCCAGTGGAAGATGAGCTTTGAGAACAACTACCAACTTGAAAAGGCTTTGAATATGGGCCCAGAGAAAAGCTGTGTTTTATGAAAAACAGCCTAGCCATATGTCGAGAAGCTTACCACCAAACCAGTGTTCAACAGCTGATGATTTTTTAACCTATTATGGCAATCGATTAAGGTTTACAGATAGCCTCAGTTGAAGTATCTATATTGAAAAAATCATCATAGTGCCCCAGAAAGTATAATCAGATATACTAACTTATTTCACTTAAAATATCCATGAGAATGGAAGTGTGGAAGTAAGCATCTCTTTAAAATGTGCTAATCTCTCACTGCCCAGTTATCTAGAAACTTGTCCATTCTTCAGGCACATTCAGCCACAAACAATATTGATGTTCACCAATCTTTTTTTTTCTAAAGAAATGAGTTCAAATTGCTGAAAATGTAGTGCCTATTTTTGGTATGCAGTACTTCAACAACATATGAAATTTTTAAAGTTACTGTGTAAGTTACTTTTGTGTAATAGGAAATATAAATTATGTTCATTTAGATAAAAGGTATCTTTTTCTTCTGTTTATAGAAGGAATTTCCTCACCTTGAAACTTTTTCAAGTCTCTCACCTATACCTGGATTCACCAAATGGCTTCTTGGAACACTGAGTTCTCAAACTAAGGAACTTGGGAGAAATGAACTCTTTACAGATTCTGAAAGTAATGAAATCTCAGATATCATAGGTGGCCCCATTAGTGAAACTTTGAAGATACTTTTAACTAGCAATGAATGGGTGAAATCTGAAAAACTTGTCAAGGTGTTACAATCCCCTTTGATGAGACTCTGTGCTTGGTATTTGTATGGAGAAAAGCATCGTGGTTATGCCCTCAACCCAGTGGCAAACTTTCATCTGCAGAATGGGGCAGTGATGTGGCGGATCAATTGGTTGGCAGATTTGAGCCTCAAAGGCACTACTTCATCCTGTGGGATGATGGTCAATTATCGATATTTCTTAGAGGAAACTGGTGTGAACAGTGCTGCCTACTTGGGAGCCAAGAATATCAAAGCCTCTGAGCAAGTTCTAAATTTAGTTTCTCAATTTCAGAGACTTAGCAAGCTTTAACCAGACACTTCTTGAATTGGAGGTATTTTTTTTTCAAAGCAGGAAGTAATTGTGGTGTCTTAAGTCTCAAAGGAATCCTTTGTACTGAAACAAACTGAACTGTGTTCTTTTCCAAACAGTGGACTTATCATGACAGATTTTGTGACCTAATTTACGGTAATTTTATTTCTTTGCAGTAGCAAATAAATAATCTTTGCAGTCTAGCTGTCAGGCTGATGAATATACAGATAAACTATGCACAAGCTTACAGAGGGAAGGAAGAAGTTTGGTGTACCTATATATTTAACCAAAGAAATTACTAGTCATCATTAGCATGTATGTAATAGCCTTCACCCCTTTATTCATCCTCAGTATCAGTGCCTTTGTCTGAACATCACCTTCAAAAGGATGTGAAAATTTTTCAACATGCATCTTCAGTTTTGGATCGATAAGTACCATGACAATCCAAAAAAGGAGTCTGGATGAAGACACCTTTTTTCTTCCTATCATACAAGTAAATTCACATCATGTAGAATTGTGTTCACTAAGCCTGTTGGGAAAAAAAAAAAACATACATGTGAGTCCTTTTTTTTTTTTTCAATGTCATTCTTTCCACTCACTTGAAGTGTTAATACTGGTTAAAGGATTGAATGCAAAAACATTCTCCATTTTACAAGCTGAATTTTGAAGGCCATGCATGTGTGAAATGGGTGGTTTTTAGCTTGCTGGCAAAAATGGAAATAATCGAGTACTGTAAATTCAGTCATTTACTATGAACAAAAAATGAACAGAATTGCTACTGGGGTATAAGTTGATCATTTTAAAGGATATATTGGGAAACTTTGAGAAATTTTGTAAGAGGGTGTGTGAACTCATACCATGAGTTCATTGGTAAATAGCAAGTTTGTTCTATAAAGTATTAAATATTAAAAACATAGTTGTCTGATGTGTATTGTTTATTTAAGATCTTGAAATAGTAGGACTGGAAGGGCTCCTTAAATTTTTACTAATGCTCTATGTAGTAGGACATAGAGGTGTTTCTTACAGAAGCTTTTATCTAACAAGTCCCTAAATTTCTTCCACTTCATCTCCAATCTTCTAACACATACATGCGTGCACCCTTACACACACACACACACACACACACACACACACACACACATACCACACCTTTCATCAGAAGATGGTATTGGAAAGTAAAGAAACAGAAAAATATTGGTAAACATTGGCTCTAACCTAAACAATCTTGCCTTCTTTAGACAGACCATGATACCATTCTCAAGAAATAGGAATTCCTTGTTTTCAAAGATCTCTGGGGAGAGATACCCCATAATAAATGGGAAGATTTAGCAGTCCTTGAAAGGAAAATTCTTCTTGCAACAAATCATTTGTCATAGGTCTTGAATCCCAAAATTGTGTATTGTGAAGGGTACTACAACACATACTGAGTATAAAGAGGAGGCTACCTCATGGGTCCTACATGTTGCACTTTTTTGAAGCATTCTATTACTGTACTTCATGTATTTATAAACAGTGAGTGCTCCAGTGGTAACTCATGTCCAACTCATTATCAAGTATATTTTCAGGTGATTCTAGATATTCCGGTCTTGAATGATGGAGTGAAGGTAACAGATTTTACCCATCCACCTTTGAACAGTGCTCTTTGTCACCATATATATTTAGCAAAGTTATTTTCTATCTCATTTGGATTCTTCAAAGTGTTTTGACCTTTACCCATTGTTGAATTCTAGTTTTAGATAATAGCTAATTATTCTGTATCTTCACTTACAGCCTGATGTGTGGGCCTAGAGGCTACATATGGCCTTCTAAGTCCTTGGATGAGGCCTTTTGACTGAGTCCAAGTTTTACAGAACAAATCCTTTTTTAAGGGGATTTGTTCTGTGAAGTTTGAATTCAGTCAAAGGGCCACACTTGAGGACCTAGAGGGCCACATGTGGCCACAAGGCCACAGGTTCCCCACCTCTGACCTAGAGTATTCCATTAGGATGATGATTTTATATTGAAGGGTAAGCAGCTCTTTCCAGGTGCAGTTCTCTTGGGATTGAGTCATCAATGCTGGACATTGCTTACATCTGTTTCTCATTGAAAGCCAGATGGTCACTGTGATGGTACAGGAGGCAGAATTCATTGCATGCTATAATATTTAGTCCAAAAAGTTTTTTAAAACTTAATCACAGACTCTGAGTTGGAAGGTACCTCATACAAATAATCTCATGCAGCCTGGCCCAAATGGTCATCCAGCCTCTCATAAAGATCTACATTATAGAGGAGGAACTTACTGCTTCTTAAGGCAGCCCATTCTACTCTGTGACAGAATACAAAGTTTCTTTAAAAGTGTTTCTTGTGGGGCCAGCTAGGTGGCACAGTGGATAGAGCACTGTCCCTGGAGTCAGGAGGACCTGAGTTCAAATCTAGTCTCAGACCAGACACTTGACACTTACTAGCTGTGTGACCCTGGGAAAGTTACTTAACACCAATTGCCTAGCCAAAAAAAAAAAAGTTTCTTATGTAAAACCATAATATGCCTCTTTCCAACTTCTACCCATTGTTCCTAGAGCTACCTTATGAGGCCAAGTAAAACAGTGAAGGGTACTACAACACATACTGAGTATAAAGAGGAGGCTACTTCATGGGTCCTACGTATTGAACTTTTTACTTCAAAGGTTGATCTCTTGTTCCTTGACTAACTCTTCCTTACATGAAACAGCAAAAGATTCTTTCTCAGATCCTCCAATATTTCATCATGCTTATCATCTTCTTCTCTGGATCCCTTCTAGTTTGTCCAAGAATCTTGGATCTACAGCTGGAAGGGACCTCAGAAACCACCTCGTCCAACCCCCTTACTTTATAGATGGGGAAACTGAAGCCCAAGGAAGTGACTTGTCTAAGATCAGACATGTAGTAAGTATCAGGGGCAGGATTTGAACCCAGGTCCTCTGACCTTAGACCCTGTTCTTTCTATTGTACCACACTGCTAGAAAGATAAAGTGATTCACGCAAGATCACATGAGTAGTAGTTGGCAGATCTGTGTCTTCTAACCTCAAATTCAGCTTTTATTCTCATCCTTCACACATTGTGACACTCAGAACAGAACACAAACTGGATACATTCTGATGGGGGTGGGGTTGGGGGTTTGAATAGAACACAACTAATCGCCTCCCTCATTCTGGACTCATCTTCTATCAATTGATCCTAAAATTACATGAGCTTTTTTGTCTGTCATGCTGTACTTCATTGTTTTTAGACTCCCTAATGTCTACCCTCCTCTTCTGAATTGGACTTGTGAAATTGATTGGTTGAACCAAAATATGACTTCACATTTATCTCTATTTGATTTAGCCCGCTGTTCTGCTGTTAGATCCTATCAGGATCTTTCTTTGGATACTGACTCTTGCCTTCAGCTTATTACCTATACTTTTGTCAGCTGTGCAAATGTAATAAACCTGGCTTCTATGACCTTAGGAAATTGCTGAGAATGTTAAACAACATAGGGTAAAAGACTGGATGCCCACTAGAGGTCCTTTTCCAAGTTGAAACTGACCCATTAATGGCAATCCTTTTGGTCTTGTCACTCAATCAATCCTGAGTTCATTTGCCTAGGCCTTATCCAGCCTATGTGGCCCCATTTTGTCCGAGATAATATGAGTGGGTTTTTTCAGATGTTTTGCTAAAATTTAAGAATACTTTGTCTACAATGTTGCCCTAATCAATTAGTCTGACATGACTTATATTTTTTTAAAATCATTTGTTGGAAACTTTTGTCTTTATATCACAGTAATTTTTGGATGAAGCATGGCACACTGTGCATATAGTTGGCACACTGGATAAAGTACTGAACCTAGAGTCAGGAAGACCTGTGTTTAAATCTGTATTTAGATGCTTACTAGCTGTGTGACCCTGAACAAGTCAGTTAACCTCTGTCTGCTTCAGTTCCTTCAAAAATTGGAATAGTAACACTTTCCAGAGTTGTTGTGAGGATCATTTGTAAAGGTCTTAGCACAGTGCCTGGTACAGAGTAGGCACTTAATAGATTCTTGCTTCCTTTCCACTGTTCTTCTCTTCTTTTACCCTCCTCTTGTGAGAAAGAAAAACAACCATAAAGGTCTGATAGGAGGAACACATCTGAAAATGTATGTAGCATTCTGACCTAATATTCCCTCACCTTAGCACATGTCTAACACTGGATGGGCAGTTCATCACAATGAAAAAACACTGGATTTGGAATCAGGATTTGTGTTCAAAATCACCCACGATCTTTGGCAAGTCACTTAACTTTTCTGGTCCTTAGTCTCATATGTGTAATGATATGTTCAACAGAATGGCCTCTTAAGATTTCTGTGATGTCTAAATTTGTGCTGTCATAATCTTGTATTTAGAATATTGTGAGAAGAGTCAAGCTTATTATTTGCAGATCAGTTGCTCTCCTTTTAAAATATGCTATCATCTATATATCTGTATTTCAGCAAGGCATTTAAACTCTTTCCATCTTATCTTTGTGGAGTTGATGGGCTATTAAAACAATGGTACATTGGGTGGTTTTGGAACAGATTGCCAGACCACACCCAAACAATAATCATTATTGGATCCACATCATGTTATATAGGGAGGTCTAGGAGTGTATTGGAAGCCTAAAATCTGTTCTTGGCTCTATGCTACTCCACATGTTTACCTGCAACTTAGATGAAAACAGATGACGTGCTTATCAACTTTGTAAATGGGATGAAGCTGACAGGAAAGCTAAGATATTGCATGGTAGAGTCAACACCCAAAAAGATCTTGAAAGGACAGAATGGTCAAATCTAAAATTAAATTTAATAAGAATAAATTAAATTCCTATAAGCAACTCTTAGATTTCAATTGGTATAGGTATAGGGTGAGAGGAGCTACTTCTGTGGGGAAAAAGTAGATTTAGTATAAAAGGATCGTAGTTTAGTGCTATAGAGAACCTTAGAGGGAATCATATCCATTTTACAGATGAAACTGCATCCCAAGTGACTTGGTAGTGATCACACAGATAGTAAGTGATTGAGACAAGATTTGAACTCAAGTCTTCCTAACTCCCAGGTCTATTCTCTGTCCACTGATCATATGGCATGGCAACCCAAAAACCTGGGTATTGAGAGGTATAATGCCCAGAATGAAACTAGTAATTGTCCCTCTGTAATGTCCTCTGTTAAGATTTCATCTGGAATATTGTGTTCAGTTCTGAGCATCACATGTTAATGAGGCCATTTGTCAGTTTGGATCAAGTCCAGAGGAGGGGACTAGAATAGTGAGACTGTCATGTGAGAAGGTTTGGTTGAAAGGACTAGTAATGACCTTTGTACTGCTTTTCAGATTCTTTTTTTGTTTTCTCCTTGAAGAGAGAAGGCAGCTGGTGTTGCAGTGGATAGAGCACCAAGCCTTGAGACAGGAAGGCCTGAGTTCAAATGTGGCCTCAGACACATACTAGCTGTGTCTCCCCAACTGTGAAGTGGGAAAAACAGTAGCATCTACCTCCCACAGTTGTGAGAATCAAATGAGATAATATTTGGAAAGTGCTTGGCACAAAGTAGGTGATATGCAAATGTTAGCTGTTATCATCATTATTAATAATTACAGCCTATCTTAAATCGTTAAATCTGGACCTCTTCTTACCTATAGCTTCCTTTTAATAAGAATTGCAAGTATTAATGCAGTGCTTTAAGGATTATGATACCTCATTTGATCCTCACAGCAACCCAGATAGGTACTTTGATTCTTCCCACTTTATAGATGAGGAAACATACTACAGGAGATTAAGTGATTTGCTCAAGATCACACAACTAGCAAGTGTCAGAGGCATGATTCAAACACAGGTCTTCCTGACTCCAAGTTCAGTACTCTGACCACTGCTACCTGTAGTGATAGTGGCATTGGTGAAACTGGATATAGAAGTTTTTATACTATCAATAAATATTAACTGATAACTTTAAATAATATCCATTTCCAATCTGCTTGAGTTAGTCCCCTGCTTGAGGAACTGATTCATACCAGTATTCCAGTCTGGTTATAACTGAAACCATAGAATCTAAAAAAGTCGCTTCTAAATGGAAGGCTAGATCATGGCTCACCATAAATAAACATTTGCAGAAATGTTTTCATCGTGCGTATAAGGGCAACAAGAAACATTTCGTAAGACACTAAATCATCTTACCTCACAATGTTCACGATGAGCAAAAAGACCATCATGAAGTTATCTACCCCTTATTTGCCAACATTTTGCAGAAAATCAAGAGGTAGAGAGCCTATGCATGTAGTATGTCCTTCTAATTTACATCCAGATGCACTTTGATAGTGAGTTCAATGTAAAAACAGGTACAGGAATTGATGGTGAAAAAAATATCTTGGAAGATAATGCTCAGGGTCAAGAAACAAAGGGACCAAAGGACATATGTTACTTATGCTTCAAAGGAGAGTTGAGAGGGGCTGGACGTGATAAACATTGAATAAAATCTATGCACAATGAAACACAAAAAGACCGGAAATTAGTTACTGGTGAAGTTATCCTGGAATCAGCTTTTTTATATATGTCACACTACTGATTAGTTGGAGCAAAGATCAAATTCACCACCAAATTAGAAAAATAAAAATGAGATGAGCTGTGCAAATAAAACAGCTCCAGTATGACAACCCATTGATACCCAAAATTGGAAATTGATAAAGGAATAAA